TAATGTGTTTGAGTACAGAAATGTGAAAATGTTTTTCAGGCACAAGAGATGGCCTGTATAGCAATATAAGCAGGTAAAGGAGAGCTTTACACCCAGTTCGCCATGATCCTTCACTGTGCTCTGATATTCTTTCTCCTGGCGGCTGTTGCCGACTATGGACTCGTAAACGGAGTGTCTGATACATATTGAGTTGCCTATTCGTTACGTTTAAGCGTAGAGTTCTTAGCATTTATATTATAGTATTGTCAAGACTGGTTTCGTGGATGCCAGATGTATCTCATGGATGGAACATGCAAAAATCCCTTGATGAACTTTCATACCAGGGCTGTGTGCAAGAGAACATGTGGTTTTTGTCGAGACTAATCACGAACGTGTGCAATAAACAGTTCATCATTCAGATTAAACGGGAATCGTGAAAAGAAAATATGGTCGCGTTAGTTGAAGGAATCCTTCCCGGAAAATTCTTGCATTCTTTCCCAACATGAATATGTCAGTTGTGATCACTAGAGACAACACACAAAGTTTCACATGAAGATTCGGTTTCCGAAGAGAAACAAACTCACGAAAACCACACTCTATGGACGGTCGAAGGTAGGTTGGGCGGAGCCAAGGGGGGCATGGAAAGAAGTGCGCCTTGGGGCGGCTACGTATCAGGCGACGCAGAAAGAATCGGGTTAAGCGTGCGATTTTGGAGAGTAGAGACAAATCGATCGATAGAATAGGATGCAGTAGAAGTGTGAGATGTTAGTGCAATAAGTCAAAAGGTCAAAAAGAGTTTCTAGTGACGCACTCCGTGAACCAAGTGGAAGCGTTCCCGCCGCCAGCATTTGTGACAGATGTCCGGCGGGAATTTGAACGCGTAGCAGTCCTTCCGGTTTTTCGAATTTTTACCAAAACAAATGCAATTTTTTTGTTCTTTTCGTTCTTATCGTGAACGATGGATTTCAAGCCAGTGATTTATGGGTGAAATAGAATCATGATTTTTCCGGAAAGAATTATTTGAACTCGGTGAGGGGTAAATCATTCATTAGAATCTGATCTAAAAAGAGGACTTTATGTTTATTGTTAATATCAACTTTGTTTTTTTCCTATAATAATCAAGGCAAAAATATCTTTGAGATATGTAGCAGAGGATGTTTGTAGATGTCGCTTTTTTCATATCCATTATAGCGTTTGATCATAGAACTCCAACTTCTTTTGCATGACGTCTGTCCTTTCTGATTTTGTGTGCCATTAAAAAATTTGGCACTATTTACTTATTACTGCCCCGCTCTTCGAAAGCTGAGTTTTTTTAAATTTAAAATTCGCAAATGGATGTGGATTTGAATAGAAGTTGCCCATGAGTATTTTGATCCGTGAATACGAATATCACTTATGTTCGACGCGAAACTCCGAAGTGCCCGCACCAGTTCATTTCGGACCACAAAATCCGCTGAAAACTTGCCCTTGAGAATTAGATTAGGTGGACACGAATGTCTTACTCCTTTGTCAAAAAATTATTTATAGCACGCGCCAGAGGGGTAGGCACCAGGTGCGCTTTCGTCTATGGGGCGAGTGCCAGGGCGTTTTTTGTGATATCCGTAGTCTTCGGGTAAACCACCGCCATAGACAACTTTTTGGCCAAATTCACAATCATTGCGAATTTCAAATAACAATTCAACTCAGTTAATGAAGGGTGAGGCAGTAAAAGGGCGGAAGTGGTGTAGTGGCAAGTGGCACGCTTACCACGCGAGCGGTCCGGGATCAAATCCTGGGTCGTGAGTCCCCAAGCCTTCCATCCCTCCGGGGTCGGTTAATTGGTACCAGACTTGTCTGGGAGGATAAAAACACTGACTTGTACATCGGCTGGCCCCGCAAGTCATTGTATAGGCCACATCGCATTCAAACGCCACTACGAATGTACAAATGGAAGTAGAATGCGTGCCGCATCCCAAAAAGGGATTGATCAACGGCAAATGCTTTATCCTTTGCTTTATTTGAGAATTTATAGATAAAAGCTGAAGCATAAAAACAAATGACCCGAGCGCTCAGGGCCTTAGAACAGGAAGTTAGCTGGCCGCGGGGGGCGGGGGGGCCGGGCGGGGTCGCCGGGGCGGCGGCGCCGGCGGGGGCGAGCGCGCCTTACAAAAATATACATATTCGATTACATGCATTAAATAGCACACAAAAACCGGCACGAGCCGAGAATGAACATCACCAGTTTGAGCTTCTTTTGGCCTACATTTAAAAAATCATTCACAGTTGTGCGATGGTACGAAAACTCCATGTTACGGTCGGTAATCGGAACTGCGATAACCTCGGGAGCTCTGAATTCATGTTTTCGACCTTTAAAGTGGGGGAGTCACAAACGTCGTCAGTTCTTCGCCGTTCTATCCATCGTTCAGGGATTGGCTCTTCTTGTCCGTCGACGAATGGCACAATGTTCTTCATCAAGGCCAGCATAGCATTCGTTGTATTCCCAGATCGACTTGACTTCAGTAGCAATTTTTTGTCCTGGAATGGTCAGTATTTGAGAGGAAACTGAAGGTTTTTCGAGCAGTGCGAAAACTACCTGATAGGCGACGAATGCGAGTTCAAGAAGTGATGCGAAAATGAAAGCAACACATGTGAACATCCAGATGTCGATTGCTTTGATGTAGGAAACTGGTGGCAGTGAACGTATGATGTTACCAAACTGAAGAAGAAGAGATTGTATAGTGGTGGTTAAGATTTCACTTTCACTGGAACTGGAAACTGAAGGGTGAAAACTACCTGAAAAGTGAGAGACATGAGCGAGTTCACCCCAACATACGATACGGGCCGTAAGACTTTGAATCGATACAAAAAGCGAACCATGAGATAAATACGGAAATGTACGTCGGAAAATACATCTGAAATCGATGAAGGGTAGCTTTGAATGAGAATCTCAGAAAAATGTCTCCATAGTTGATGATCCTTTATCGAGCCTTTTAGTGAGAAAGTTCGTGGTACCTTTCTTCCACAATTGTTAATCAACTAATCTCCACCGGGCCGAAGTGGTGAAGATGAGCAGTGGCCACGCCACCACGCGAGCGGTACGTGCCGTGAAGTTTTTCATGCCAAGGCTGTCATGTAGGGTCGCAGTGCTTCGTTTCTGTGATTCGTGGTCCCTGCTGTTAATCTTCTGATTGAAATTCTGTCCAACAAGATGACCTCCCTGCAGCCTAAGTTCCATATATTTATGTCACCTAACAAGGCAGACCCGGTCTCTGCTCATTTCTGATCGAACTTCTTTCTTGGCGAAACTTCATAGACCCCTCGCAACACTTGTCTATAGGAAAGGGTATACTCCTTGTGTGCAGCCAGTGAATGTTCATAGATTGCTACCTCTTTGACAATTCTATAGAACGAAATGGAGTTACCGTAACCATAAACCATAAGCCAATCATCAGCACTTGCCAAAAATTGCTGTTTTCGATTGACTAAACGCATTTTCTTAAACTTTGCAAACAATCACGGAAGACCTTGAAATAGTGTTTGGACGGGTAGTTTCCTGAATGGCTTTCGACTTTTCCAGGCTCTGAAGAAGGTGAAAGCACCGAAACGTCGGCCTAATAAAAGTTATTATCAATCTTGGTTGGAAGCTTAGCAACTACACTATCATATTCTGGACTATGCCAAGATTTATACATACAAAGTCGAACTTGGACACTACTTCGAGACCTTGAATTATACAAATGTCACGACGAGTAGTATGAACACAGCCAAACATATGCGAGTGACATTACCCTCGAGAAACCATGTACATAGGATCCGAACTTTGTTTTTCGCATGGCATAGTGTCACGGGTAGAGGCGCGAATATGGCTCGACCACTGCAGTGACGGACCTAGCACTTCTATCCAAGGGGGGGGGGCTTCTTTGTGAGGGCTGACGTTGGACCTCCCCTATTTGTCAATAATGTGTAAGTCCCATTATTACCTTATATTTTTTTATTTATTTTGAGATCTGCAGCATTCATAATGGATGGTGGCACTGAGCTGAACCTTAGCGTTTCCTTTTTTCTAAGCAGAAGAGAGTGACAATCATGTAAGGGAGAAGTGCAATAGGCCGAAGTGATTTTTCCCATGTTGATAGGAGCCTACAGTGATACGCGAAGTCAAACAACACTCACCGTGGGGAAGGCAAAAAATGAGATCCGATCGACTTGATTGCCGAAAATCGAGGAGCCGTCGTTTCTTCTTCAAATAGTTCAGTCGCCGTCTAGCCGCGATTTCCCGTTCAAGCGAGTTTGCTTCAGAAGAAATCTTGTCAGAATTTATAGATAAGGCCTGAAAGCAACAAAAGCATTACTCGAGCGTCAGACCTACAAACAATACAGCGCCAAAATTACGGAGACAGCGATTTCGAGTCGCCTAGAATGAACACCACAATTCCAGGAAGCCAAAAATGCAGTAACGTTCACTGTTCAATAATGAATCGTAAACATCTGCCAAATCTCAGAAATTCCTTCGTTGGCACTTATACGGGCCTTGAGAAGCAGTGAGGAACCATCGACGGTGGCACGCAAGGTGGTGCGTAGAATCCGTCCTACGTATTCTGAAGCAATTCTTCAAAATAATCCCCAAAAATGTAAAGTTCCATGCAAGCTTCAGCTTGCAGAATCAATTCTACAGTGTAAGCCATTTATATAGAATCTGAAATGCTGACCAACTCGTTGAAAGTGATGAATTCGACAAAATTGGCTCTGACCCAGTTCAGCACCACCCTTGCCTTATGGAAATCCCTTCCTTATGAAAGATCAAACAATGTTTTTAAATCTTAAGATGGCAATTTGCTTGGGAATTCTCAAGTAATCTCCTTAATGTCCATCTCTCGTGACATTCGGCGGAACGAGTGCGCGAAGTGCCACCAAATTCTGTTGCGCACCATGCTGACATTGCTCGTGGCCGTCTCGGAAACACGGCCTTCCCATCCAGAATGAGTGCATTCGGTTCCTTACTCCTTGGAGCGTTTAGTGGATCCATGATTGGTACCCAGGTAAAAACCAAAACGCTGATAATTCTTGCGTGCCGGAAACTCTCAAAGTTGAAGTTCAGTGATCTAGAAATGGCGGCAGAATCACTCAGCCATCGTAACAATCATACATATTGGTGGTCAAATAAGATAATTATGAACAGGTCAACACAACTAAACCAAAATGAGCGCAGCAGTAAACAGCATCTTTGAATAGTGGTTCAAATAGTGCGCGGAAGTGCTGTCTCCGTAATTTTGGCGCACCCTGTAGCACACAAAAACCAGTACATAGCCGAGAATGAACATCACCAGTTTGAGCTTCTTTTGGCCTACATTTAAAAAATCATTCACAGTTGTGCGATGGTACGAAAACTCCATGTTACGGTCGGTAATCGGAACTGCGATAACCTCGGGAGCTCTGAATTCACGTTTTCGACCTTTAAAGTGGGGGAGTCACAAACGTCGTCAGTTCTTCGCCGTTCTATCCATCGTTCAGGAATTGGCTCTTCTTGTCCGTCGACGAATGGCACAATGTTCTTCATCAAGGCCAGCATAGCATTCGTTGTATTCCCAGATCGACTTGACTTCAGTAGCAATTTTTTGTCCTGGAATGGTCACTATTTGAGAGGAAACCTGAGGTTTTTCGAGCAGTGCGAAAACTACCTGATAGGCGACGAATGCGAGTTCAAGAAGTGATGCGAAAATGAAAGCAACACATGTGAACATCCAGATGTCGATTGCTTTGATGTAGGAAACTGGTGGCAGTGAACGTATGATGTTACCAAACTGAAGAAGAAGGGATTGTACATGGTGTTCAGATTTCACTTTCACTGGAACTATAATAAATGGAAAAAAGGGCGAAAACTACCTGAAAAGTGAGAGACATGAGCGAGTTCACCCCAAGTACGATACGGGCCGGTAAGGCTTTTGAATCGATACAAAAAGCAAACCATGAGAATACCGCCGTGAAAGTACGTCGAAAATCATCTGAAATCATGAAGTTAGCTTTTATAAAATCTCAGAGAATTGCCTTCACAGTTGATGAACCTTTATCGAGTTTTTTAGAAATCGTGTTTTTTTCTTCCACCAATCTTATCGAATTTATGGCAGCGAAACAATAAGAGGAGGGTACATATTCACGACAGCGCACAGCATTTACTTGATACGCTAAAAGCATATACAGCGCACTTCACAAGAAGTGCGCCTGGTTCCTGACAGGATCGGTAAACCTCCGCCCAAAGCGATTCGCCCACTAGTTTGGCTGGTGATTTGAACGAGCTGAGTTGCCAGCAACGGCACATCTGAAGCATGGATTGGCATGCTGTCAGCGAACGCATTGTCGCGAACTCGTTCATACGTCCGATTTCTGAGCTGTTGCCTGTTCATGAGTGAAAAATAACGGCCAAAAAAGGGGGTCCCGTTTTGCGTTTTCTTGACGGATTTCTAAGGTTTTTTCGCCACTGCGTGCAACACCATCACCTCCTTTATATCCTTCTCGAATCCATCCATTGCCCTCAAATCTCAAACCGGGAATGTATCAGGATTTAAGCAGCGTATATCGATTATCACTTGGTTTGGTCACATCTCTTAGAATATGAGGAGGACAGCGTCCCCTTTCAGATGTTGCTTTCTGAAGCGAATGGCCAGCTCCTCAGTTCCGGTTTTCTGTGTGGATGCAAGACTGAGCGAAGTATTCGAAAGGCATCAAATTCTTGAAAAATTGTCAACATTATTTGAAAAGCTCTTCTTCTTCTGCCTAGCGTTGATCACGCAGTCGCAGGTTCGTAGTTCTTGTTAGTCGTCACCACTATGTCCTATTTACAATATCTTATGCAGTGAGCTTGACGTCAGTGAAGCTCTTCTTGATGACCTCTCTCCACCTTCCACTCAAAACTCCTCATGGCCGCTTACTCTGGAGTCCAGTGCTCTCCTTATTCGGTCATTGCTTCCTCCTTATGATTAGCTTATGTGCATACCGCCGCAGTCGCTGTTCCCGCACCTTGAGTAGGACAGCGGCAAATTGCGTGACCGTTCTGACACCTTCATTTCCGACCCTCTCCAGTTGCACCCCTAAGCCTTGATGAAAGTTCTTGCGCTTTTCGGTGTTCCTTTTTTGAACGCCTTATTTTGTTCCGACTTCAAGCAAACTGTCACCGTGCTACATGCCGTTTTGAAGAGCGTTTCCTGTTCTATCTAATGATGGGGTCAACTTTGTTCTGCATCGTTTGGTTATCACTTTTTTGAAGCCTTGAATACGGCATACTCCAAGAGCAAATTTGCATGATTTCCTTTTTCTAGCTCAAAGCAGGCCAGTATGGAGAGGAAGCAGGTCAAGATATTATAGACGCACTTGGCTGAGATTCGCAATAAATATGGTCTGAAGCAATTGTTCAAAAAGCTTTTGTAAGAATAGCGAGAGCCCTAAAGATTGTGAGGGTGGTGATCGGAGATTGGACAACGCCAACGATTAGTCGAACGTTCTGGTTGAAGCACGTTTGCACAAATCTATTGAGAGGGTTCCTCCTAAACTGATCGCACTTGCATTGTGTTTTCTTGTTGTACGGGAAGAGCTGGAAAGTCCCAAAATTTAATAGGGCGTGCCGCACCATTTTGAAGGGTCGCCCTTCCATTCCTAGCTTGTTTTCTGCAATGAAAACCCCCTGCTTTTCTACTCATTACGACGTACGATAAAGAGCGTATTCTTTGCTACAGCATACGAACCCTTGCTGAACCGCGATCAGGTTTTGAAGCTTTGCAAAATTGAAACTGTATTGAAGTAAGGTTGAGTAATTTTCATAAGGTAAGCAGAAACTGAAAAGGGAAAAGGGCAAAGGGAACAAAAGATTGCGTCGCTCCTGGATATGTGACGGGAGTAAAAGGAACAACGAATAAAACCCTGAAAACATTTTTGAAGAAATTCATGCCAAAGCTCCCTTCATCAGCGTATTCCTGACCACGTGCGTTCCAAATCAGTTGACGCATTCAGCCAGTTCATTGAATTTCCTTTGCATTCATGTGAACTCTCCCCCTCCCCCCCACGCCATTTGATTCACTCTTTTAGCGAAAGCTAAAAAAAACAATGCACAGAT